TCTAGTGTACTAGGAAGCAGGTACTGGAGAGCGTGAGGGACAGGCCAATGGAAGCTTCTAGAAGGTTAGGTGTGGGGGTCCTGGGGGGGGGCAGCCAGATAAGAGTTTGGGTAACTACAGATTTCTGAAACCTTCCTGAAATGCCTGCTCAGGCCTTGGGTGGCCAGCAGTACAGGCTTCAGAAGACGGGGAGCGCTGGCTTCCAGGGAGTGAAGGCCAGGCGGGGGCTGAAGGTCCCGTCAGCTCTGGGGCGAGGGTGATGACAGGAGGTGGGATGTGGGGTGCGGCAGGCATCAAGTCAAGGCCTGGTGGGGCCCGGGGAGGGAGCAGCCCCATGCCCTGTCACAGATGCTATACATGTCTGGACTGTGGCCGGAAAGCACAGAGTTCACGCAGAGTGTCTGCCGTGACATACCGGTCCCCTACAAAACATCAGCTGGGACTGGCAGGGGCTGGGGCCAGACAGCAGAACACTCAGACAGGCCGAGCGGGAGGCAGGCCCTGTACAGGAGCGCCAGCAGGGGGCGGGACGGGCAGCCCCCATGGCAGGGCGCTCCTCCCGCACGGTGCTCTGGCTAGGTCTCTGGGGAGCCGCTTCCATCGGCTGCCCGCCCAGTGTGCAGAGGCCTGCCCCCGACGGCCTGCCCTGCCTGCTCCTGGCAGAAGCTGGGCCTCGTGGAGCCACGGAGAGGCGCGTGGGCGGCGGCGGGGGGCGGAGCAGGGGGCGGAGCAGGGGGCGGAGCGGGAGCCGTCACCTGCTGCTGGCTCTGGTGGTGCAGTTTCATCAGCTGCTGCTGCTGCACCGCGGCCTGGAGCTGCTGCTGCATGGCGCTCTGCTGGGCCTGCAGCTGCTGCGCCTGCGCCTGCGCCTGCGCCTGCGCCGCCTGCTGCTGCTGGAACTGCTGCTGCTGCTGCAGCGCCGCCTGCTGGAGCTGCAGCTGGCCTGCAGACAGAGCCCGAGTCAGGCCGAGGGCCGCCGGCTCCAGGCGCCGAGGCCCGCGGCCACCCCCGCGCTGTGCGCACGAAGGACGGGGCCCGGAGCCCACACCTGGACAACAGTGCGCCATCCGTCAACCTACGCTCACTGGTTCGAAAGTGCTGTTTACCACAGAGCGAGGGAACGCTGGGGGGCAGCACTGTGCCACATCTGGGACTTCCTACCCGAATGACGCTATAATAAGCCAAGAGTAACGATAAAAGACAACCAAGTATTTTCCACGGACAAGAGGCCTGGCCCTCAGGGATCATCTTCCCAGTCCTGGGCATTTCCATGAACGGAATGGGATAACACACGGTCCTTTGTGACCGGCTTCTGTTACCTGTTAGAGAAGCTCTGGTGGCGCAGTGCCTAAGGCACTTGACTGCTAACCAGAAGGCTGGCCGTTCAAACTCACCAGCCACTCCCCAGAAGGAAGATGGGGAGATTTACTTCCGTAGTGATACTGCCTCGGAAACCCAAGGAGGGGTCGCTATCAGTTGGGTCTGACTCGACGGCACACAACAACAACAACAACAACAACAACAACAACATTCCTTTTTAGTGCTCAAGACAAAGATGTCTCTTTGAAGACTAAGGTGTCTGACCCAAGCCATGGTATTTTCAATTGCCTGATATGCATGTGAAGCCTACCAATGAATAAGGAAGACTGAAGAAGAGTTGATGCTTTTGAGTTGTGGTGTTGGCAAAGAATCCTTGAAGTACCATGGACCGCCAGCAGAACAAACAGATCTGTCCTGGAGGAAGTGCGGCCAGAATGCTCCTGGGAAGCGAGATGAGGGACATGACTCTGGCCGTGTTGTCAGCAGGGACCACCCCCTGGAGAAGGACATCATGCCGGGTAACGTGAAGGTCAGCGATAAAGGGGAGGCCCTCAGCGACATAGCCTAACACGGTGGCTGCAATGACGGGCTCAGGCACAGCAAGGATGGTGAGGCTGGCACAGGACCAGGCACGGTTTCGTTCTGTTGACAGCACCTAACATCACCACCACCATTACTTTTTAGTGTATAAATCTTCAGGCTTCCTCCAGGTTGTAGCATGGTGTCAGTAACTCATTCCTTTCTACTGCTGACTCACATTGTATTGCATGGCTCAACTACAACATGATGGACATCTGGGTCATGTCTGTTGTGTGGCCATTAGGAATAATGAGCAGCCATGTCCAAGTTTTTGTGTGAGGGAGTTTCTGGGTTGGCAAAATGTTCTAAGGCAAATCGTGATGATGTCTGCACAACACTGAATCTACTAACAACCACGGATGATGTCCTTGAAACAGGGGCATTGTACAGGATGTGAGTTACACCTCAATAAAGCTGTTTGAAATAGCCAAAACATCTTGAAAAAGAACAGCAGGACTCACTTTCCAATTTCAAAATGTAATATAAAATAGCAGGCTTCTGGTAAAAGGACAGAGACCAATGGCAGAACTGAGAACCCTGCAATAAACCCATACTCTATGGACAACTGATGTGACACAATGGCGTCGAGTCCATTCAGTGGAGAATGATGTCTTTTTGGTAAATGGTTCCGCAACAACTGGATCTCCACGCGCAGAAGAAAGAGGCTGGATCCCTACTCCACACCATGTATGAAAGGTAACTCACAATGAACCGGTGACCTAACTATAAGAACTAAAACTTCAAAGAAAACACATGGGTAATGAGTGTTTCAAGACTGTGTTTTCGATAACAAATTCTTAGATAATGAGCAACAAAAGAAAAGATAAACTGGACTTCATTAAAATACAAAAAACTTTTGCGTATCAAATGACACTATCCAGTAAGTTAATGAGAGAAATAAATAAATGGAAGAAAATATTTGGCAACCATGATCTGATAAGGGTTTAATATCCAGAATATATAAAGAACTTTTACAAGTCAACAAAGACAGACAACCCAATTAAGAAAGAGGCAGGGGCCTTGAATAAGATTTAATATATAAATGGTCAATTAAAAAAAAAACAAAAACAAACTCGCTGACCTCGAGTCAGATTCAACTCATAGCAACCCCTCCTTGGGTTTCCAAGGTGGTATCTCTACGGAAATAGAGTACCTAGTCTTGGGCAATCCTACTTCCGTAGTGATAATGCCTCGGAAACCCAAGGAGGGGTCGCTATGAGTCGGGGCCGACTCGACGGCAAATAACAACAACAAGTCTTCCTTCCGAGGAGTGGCTGGTGGGTTGAAGCCTCCAGCCTTCTGGTTAGCTGCCAAATGTCCAAATAGAAATTGAAACCACAAGGTACTACTTCATACTCACTAGGATGGCTATCATCAAAAATAAGGGTTGGAGAGTATGAGAAGAAATTGGAACCCTTGTCCATGGCTGGTGGAACCGTAAAATGGTGCAGACACTGTAAAACAGTTTGGTAATTCCTCAAGAAGTTAAAAAAATTCCCATATGAGCCAGCAATTCCACTCCAACGTACAGACCCCCTGAAGACTTGAAGGCAGGGACACAAACAGGTATGGGTACACCCAAGCTCACTACAGCATTACTCACTATAGCCAAAAGGTGGAAAGAAGACAAGTGTCCAATCAAGAGAATGACCAACAGAATGCTGTATCAATACAATGAAATGCTATTAGCCATAAAGAGAAAGGAAGCCTGGTACGTGGCCGGACCTCGAGAACATGCTGCTGAGGGAACTAAGTCAGACACATAGGACCAACGCTGCAGGATCCCACGGAGATGAAATCTCTAGAACAAGCAAAGGCACACACAAAAGCTTATCAGTGGTCACCAGAGGCTGGAAGTTAGAGAGAATGCGAGTTATTGCTTGCGGAGTACTGAGCTGCTGTGTGGGGTGATGGAAATTTCTGAAAATAGATAGTGGTAAGAGATACGCGTTTTTGCCAGATGGTTCAATTGGATTTTGTCTATCGGCTGGAGTTTTGTGTGTTGTTGCTGTCTCCCCACCCCCATTCTACTTTGTCCTATTGGTTTGAAACTTACACAACTATTTCCATTGTTGTAGCACATACTTTTTTCAACTTTAGCATTCATCTTTCCCAAACTGTACAAGGACCTTAGAAGACTAGTTATTTTTAAAATTAGGTTTACTAATTGTTGTTGTTGTTGTTATGTGCCGTCGAGTCATACCTGACTCACAGCGACCCCTCCTTGGGTTTCCGAGGCAGTATCACTACGGAAGTAGGATTGCCCAACCTTCCTT